CTGTGATAGACTGGTTACCTGTCCAGGTGAACCTGCCTTCACCCTGAGTCAGCTGGGATAGACTCCAGCCCCCCATGACCCTAGTGAGGATTAAGCGATGTATAGATAATGGATGGATGGATATATGAATTAGGTTTAGCTGTGGAGTTACGTGAAGCTCCTGCACAGACTCCTAAAGAATGTAAGATTCAAACTGACTTTGAAGAGCTTTGAGAACAAGTCATATGTGCGGCTGAACAGAACGAGATTAACCAAGGCCGTATGGACATAATGTGATGTCTGAAGTAGACAGGAGTCCTGAAGAGAATAAGAACACTTTTAACAAAGTGTTGACGTGTTTTTGAAGTAAATTTCTAATCTAGCTGCTCACTAAATGACATCAGTACTGTATAATTGTCAGACATTTGAAAAAGGAATGAACAGAAAACAGATTTGGTGTTTGTCAGTCTACATAAAGCGTTAACCCTCTCCAGCTCTATCTGATCCATAGTGCCTTTTTCATATGCATATGTCATCAGCATGATTCATTAGTATGGTTTTCACTCTCCTGAGCAATTGCCATTATTATATTTTAGTTTTTGTGATTGTATATTTCAGAATGTGTATTAACTATAACAGTTCAAACAGCCTGCTTAGACATGCACTTAATTGTTATTTCCAGCTGTGTCTTGGCTGCACTTATCTTCTGCAATTTGAAATTTATGCAATGTTCTCATGAGCTTTATGAAAAATTACAAAAGCATAAATTTAGCAATGTTCCAAACTTTATTCAATTGAGGGTTACATAAAAAGTTTATTACACTGTATGTTAGAACGCACGGCGTACTTCTGCACCGCAGTAACGCATGCATATGCAAATGATAGGAATGAGTGAGCGACAAAACTTGGCCTTCAGTCAGTTCCTGTGAATCCACTGACAAGAGTTCTCTCAGTTTGCAACACGTCACATGTGCACACATGAGTACATGTGACGTGTTGCATGAGTACATGCAACACGTCACATGTACTCATGTGTGATCTGCTGCAAGCATTTTCTCAGGTTACCTCCGTTGCTCGCTGCTATTGTAAATACTCAGATTTTTATATCTATTTTATACCTATTGTCACTTATTTATTTTCTTATATACACCTATAGGCTCTACAAACATCATATTTGTCTTGTTCGTCTTGGTGTCTTGTTTTTATCTTGCACAGACTTATAGTTGTTCTTTGCACTGAATGGGATTGCACCCAGTTTCGTTGTTCTTATAAAATATTTAGCTGTATATTGTGTCGCCAATGAAATACCATAAGCACCACTTTGGACAGCATTAATGCAGGGACATATATTTTGTATTATTAATCAACATAAATAAACACAATGTATACATATAATGTCATATTATATATATATATATATATATATTTACAACAAGCCAAAAATAAATGGGGGAGGGAAAAAAAAAACATTTATGGTGGCAGCAGGTCACAGATTTTGGTGCAACACAGTGTCACCTCTCACTTCCGGTGCGTCTCCTAGCAACCACGGAGCAATAAACGCCTCCCTGCTAGCTAGCTCGACTAACTACGCTTAGCTGCACTGCTTTCTGTAATTTTTGAGGTATTTCTGTGACAGTATTTTATTTTTTTTGGCAGTGTGAGAACTGCGAGTTTGATTATACTCGGACTGCAAAAGGCTGCCCGTCCTCTTATGAGCGTTTCTGTTTTTTTCTAACTGATCAGCTGTTGTGAGGAGGATGGTGACGTGGTTTCCGCTCTCACACCCGACATTACAACAACAAGGCAGGCGAGCCGAGGAGGGACGAAGAGACGACGCTACGAGAAGTGTAAGCAGGTACAGTGAGAAGACTCTCTGAGGCGATAAACTGGCTTCGGTTCACGGAGTTAGACGGTTTAATGCGTTGTCACTGCCGCAACGGTTGGCTAGGCTAACCGAATTGCTAGCAAACCAAAGCGAAGCTAGCGTTAGCCAGCAAGCTAACTCCAGATCCATAAAAAAAGGGGTCAAAACATAAGCAGAGCTGCTCGGAGTAATCTGCCTCGCAAAGATAGTTTCCTCTGTGTATTTGTTAGTGTGACGGTTTTAATGGTATACAGCGTTATTATCAAAGTTAACTATTAATCTGCTGGTTTAGCCCGACTACAGATGATTTATAGTTGGTGAGTTGTTTTGACAGTTTACTGTAAAGCTGATGCAACATGGCAGGTGTCAGGAAGTGTGAACCGAAACTTGTGACCCCAACCACATCGACGGTTAGCTTCTCTCTCGAAGTACATTATAGTTTTTTGATAACTTGTGCAGAACAGATTAACTGTCAAGTGAATTTACCAGCTGCAGACCATAGATATGGTTAAATCCT